TGGTTGCTCCAGGCTTGGCTGCTGCTGCTCCGGGACTGGCCACACCCGACCCGGCTGCTCTAAGCCCAGCTGCTCCGGGCCTGGCCGCTCCGGGCCTGGCCACTCCGGGCCTGGCAGCTGCTGCTCCAGGCCTGGCCGCACCCGACCCGGCTGCTCCGAGCCTGGCCTTTCCCAGCCTGGCAGCTGCTGCTCCGGGCCTGGCCGCTCCCAGCCTGGCAGCTGCTGCTCCGGGCCTGGCCGCACCCGACCCGGCTGCTCCAGGCCTGGCCACTCCCAGCCTGGCAGCTGCTTCTCCGGGCCTGGCCGCTCCCAGCCTGGCAGCTGCTGCTCCAGGCCTGGCCGCTCCCAGCCTGGCAGCCGCTGCTCTGTGCCTGGCTGCTCCCAGCTTTGCAGCCGCTGCTCCGGGCCTGGCCGCACCCGACCTGGCTGCTCTGGGCCCGGTTGCTCCGGGCCCGGCCTCTCCGGGCCTGGCCTCTCCGAGCCTGGCAGCTGCTGCTCCGGGCCTGGCCGCACCCAACCCGGCTGCTCCAGGCCTGGCCACTGCCAGCCTGGCAGCCGCTGCTCCAAGCCTGGCCACACCCGATCCGGCTGCTCTGAGCCCGGCTGCTCCGGGCCTGGCTGCTCCGGGCCAGGCCGCTCCCAGCCTGGCAGCCACTGCTCTATGCCTGGCTGCTCCCAGCCTTGCAGCCGCTGCTTCGGGCCTGGCTGCACCCTACCTGGCTGCTCTGAGCTTGGCTGCTCTGGGCCCGGCCGCTCTGGGCCTGGCATCTCCCAGCCTGGCAGCTGCTGCTCCGGGTCTGGCCACACCCGACCTGGCTGCTCTGGGCCCGGCTGCCCCGGGCCGGCCGCTCCGAGCCTGGCTGCTTCTGGCCTGGATGCTCCTGGCTTGGCTACTGCTGTTCTGGGCCTGGCTGCTCCCACCCCGGCTGCTCTGGGCTCAGCTTCTCTGGGCCCGGCCACTCCGGGTCTGGGTGTTCCTGGACTGGCCACCATGGGCTTGGCCGCCTCCGCCTCAGGCCTGGCTGCCACTGCCCTAAGTCTGGCTGCTCCAGGCCTGGCTGTTGACGCTCTGGTTCTGGCTGCTGCTGCTCTGGGGCCTGGCTGTTGCTGCTCCAGATCCGGCTGCCACTTTCTTGTGCCTGGCCACTCTAGGCCTGGCCTCTGCTGTTCCAACATTCTGTCCTTTTTTTATTTTTATTTTTTTTTTATTTTAAAAACGCATTTATGTTGCAATGTTGGCTGCTGAGTTGAGTTCTGACTTAGTCTTTGATTTTTCAAGATCTTCTTTGTGTTCTTTCTTAAGTAATTTTACTATCTTTTGCTCTCACTTGATTTCTTCACATTGAGAACTTCGGTTTCTTCCTCCTTGTCCTGGAAGCTCAGCAGGTTGGCTGTGGCACCCCTTTGTTCTCCGGGGGCTCTTGCACTGCTTCAGCCTGTTGCCGGGGTTGGCACCACCGCCCAGGAAGCAGCCCCCGGCCTCGGCTCCATTGCCCGCGCTCAGCAGTCGAAGGCTCAGGGGCACCCCCCCTCTGGGGGCCCCGTCGCCCGGTTCCTTGCTGACATCTGCCTGGCCAGTGTCAGGCAGGGGCTCCTGCTACTCGTCGCGTTCCTCCAGTCTGGAGCTTTTTTTCTCCTTCCCGCTAGAGGAGTCTAGCATCAGAGTCATCAGACTGTCCTCTGCGCGCAATGTGCGCGACTCCGGGGGCTCTGCTTTTTGCTGCTCCCCCAGGACTTCATCTCACAGCCCCGTCTCCCTCTGCTTGAGCCTGGGTCCCCAGGGATTGGCCCAGAACTGGAGTTCTGGGCGGTCGGGAGTGGGGCTCAGCACGGCCGGAGGCTTTGTTTCTTCCCGCTAAGGCAATCCAGCATCAGAGTCAACATTCCATCCTCTGTGCGCAATGTGCGCGACTCAGGGGGCCCTGCTTTTCGCCGCTCCCCTGGGATTCCGCCTCACAGCCCCGTCTCCCCCTGCCCGAGCCTGGGTCCCCAGGGTCTGGCCCATAACTGGGGCTCAGCGCTGCCGGTTCGGGGGTTCAGCCCAGGCTGGGGGTTTTATTTCCTTCCTGCTAGGGAACACCAGGCAGGCACCCCGCCTTCTCCTCCTTTCCGGCTGCGAGCTCTCCTCATGCACACATGCGGGCGCGCAGCATGTCTCCATACCTTAGGCTTTTTTCAGCTCCTCTGATTTTCCTTCTGGTTTTCTCTTTCCTTCTTGTTGTAGAATTTTCAGTCAGTCGACTACCTGTAGCTCTGGGCAATGTCTACTCTACATTTTAGTTGTATTCCATTGAAATTGTTGTGTGCTACTGTTAGGTGTCTACCTGAGCAGCCATCTTGGATCCTCCCAAGCCTAGAACTCAAAATCTAACAATTTTAAACCTGTTCTTTCTTCTTTAATCCTCTAGTTCAGCGGTTCTCAACCTGTGGGTTGCGAGCCCTTTGGGGGTCGAAAGACCCTTTCACAGGGGTCATCTAAGACTATCGGAAAACACAGATATTTACATTATATTTACAGTACCAAAATTACAGTTATGAAGTAGCAACAAAAATAATTTTGTGGTTGGGGGTCACCACAACATGAAGAACTGTATTAAAGGCATTAGGAAGGTTGATAATCACTGCTCTAGTTGTAGAACTTCCATTCAGTCAGACTTCAAGCAGTTCTGAATAATGATCATTCTATATTTTAATTGTAATTTTGATGTGGTTGTGGGAGGATGCAAGTACCAGCATTTACCTACACAGTCATTTTGGTTCCTACAGTATTTTATTCTTTTTGATACTATTGTAAATGTAATTTTTTTCATTTCCTTTCTGAATTGTTCATTGTTTGTATATAAAAACAACTGATTTTTACATGTTAATGTAGTATCCTTCAGCTTTGCTGAATTTATTAGTTCTAACAGTTTTGTGTGTGTGTGTGTGTGTGTGTGTGTGTGTGTGTCATCTTTATAGTTTTCTACATATAAGATCATGTCATATGTAAACAGATCATATCATATGCAAATACTACCTTTTTCTTTCCAATGTGGATGCCTTTTATTTATTTTTCTTGCCTAATTACTGGCTAGGACTTCCAATACTGTTTTGAATAGAAATGGCAAAAGCAGGCATCTTTGTCTCTGCTTGATCTTAGAAAAGAAACTTTCGGTCTTTCACTATTGAGAATCATGTTAGCTGTGGGTTTGTCATAAATGGCCTTTATTATGTTGAGGAAGTTTCCTTCTATTCCTAGTTTGAGTATTTTTATCATGAAATGGTATTGAATTTTGTAAAATGCTTACACTGATTAAATATCCTACTATTTATAGATTCATTCATATTTCCTGTTTCTTTATGATTCTATTTGTAGGTTTTGTGTTTCTAGGAATTTGTCCATTTTATCTAAGTTATCCAATTTGTTGGTTTACAATTATTCATAATACTATTATAATTCTCATTTGTTACGTAGAATTAATAGTAATATCCCCATTTTGATTTGTGATTTTAGTTCTTTGAATCTTCTCTCTTTTTTTCTTAAGACAATCTAGTTTAAAGGCTTATTAGTTTTGTTCATCTTTTTTGAAGAACCAACTTTTGGTTTCATTGATTTTCTCTCTTGTTTTTCCATTCTGTGTTTTAGTTATCTCCACTCTAATCTTTATTATTCCCTTCCTTCTGCTAGCTTTGAATACAGTATATTCTTTATATAGTTTCTTAAGTTGTACAGTTAGGTTGTTGATTTGAGATCTTTCTTCTTTTCTAAAGTAAACAATTACAATAACAAATTTCTTGCACAAAATTATTAACTTTCTGGGCCCCATTTTCACTACTGAAAATTACAATAACAATATCTGCTTCATTATATTGCTTTAAATATATAATGTAATAATCAATTAAACCGCTAGCAAATGCTACATGCAGTAGAAAAGTTCCATAAGTATTAGCTGCTCTTATTACTACCATTATCATTAGCCTCTATGAAGTCAGGTGGTCCTAGAGTTGAATTCCAAATCCACCCCTTACTAAACATATGACTTTGGGTAAATTTTTCACCACTCTAAGACTCAATTTTTTCATCAATAAAATGGAAATAATGTCTATCTGACAGGATTATTATATAAATTAAATTAGATATAACTAAAATATTGAGCACAGAGCCTGGAACATAGTAAGTACCCACAGCAGTAGCTAACATAAATAATAATCATCAATCTTGAGTTGACCAGTGAGGACAACAGAAATAAAAGAGAAGATATAGATGCAAATTTATTTATATTTGGGAGTTAGGGGGACATGGCTTACAAAAATCGTTGGACATGATTACTGACTAAATAAAGGAAAATAATTAAAAGAAGTTGAGTGCAAAGCTTCAAGCCTAATTTGTTCAGTTTCATCCCCTGAAATACAGCTAAGACGGAATTAGATATACAAATATTTATTGGACAAATTCCTGTTAAAGAAAGGTGGATGGAAGTGAAAAAAGCTTAAGAGATTTCTCAGACAAGGATGCAGATCTGATTACTGTGAAGGAGAAAGAGAAGAAAAGTTTAAGTTACAGTGTAGTTCTAAAAGAGTATCTGCAAAGTTGATGGGGTGTCTGAGCTAAAGTCACCCCTAGAGGAAAACCATTCCTCACAGAATGGACTTATTTCATATCCCTGTTGAGAACCTGTGGGAAGTCTCTGTGCAAAGCAGGTGGTGCATTTACCACCTTCCATCAATTAAGTACCCACCACAGGAGACCTGAGTGGCACATATTCATGGCTGCCATACCTGGAACAGAAAAACAGGCAACCATGAAATGGTGAAAAATTATAACTTACAAAAATGGAAACCCACCTTTCTCACATTTCCATAACTCCAAAAATATCTTTGTGTAGAAAGGCCAGGATAGAATTGTGGCAAGTGTAAGCACCAACCTAGAAATACAGTGAGAGAAAAAAAAAGATTATAAGGACGTAGGCAGCTATTATAACATCACCTCCACTCATCCTTCTCTTTTCTATCCATGACAGATGATACAACACTATCAAGTCCTGGCCTCTCAGATGGGGCTATTGCTGGCATTGTGATTGGCGTCCTGGCTGGCGTAGCTCTGATAGCAGCCCTGCTGTACTTCCTGTATATCAGAAAGACTGGAGGGTATGACGGCATTCTCTCTTGTCCTGCTTCCTCCAAGGCTGATGACTATGCTTGGGAGAGGGAAAGAGGCTTCCCCTATGTCTCTGGGCGTGGATCTGCTCCTCCTCCTTCCTAAACCCCTGCTTCTCAGTATTGATTCCTGAGGCCTCTTTTTCCCTGTTTTCAATTTTCCTGCACCCCTCTCCCTTTGGGACATGGTTATTCCCATCTCCATCTGGTTTAGAGGGGGAAGATTATGCAACTAGTCAGGGAAGCCAAGGTCCGAGAAGGAAAACAAATGAAAATACAAAAAGAGAAGCAAGAGAAAGTGAGTCCTGTGCTCTGTCAACCATAGGAAGAGAAGGAAAAGAGAGGGTGGGGACAGGAAGAGAACCTAACAAAAAGCAGAAACTGAAGGCACCTTAGGCAATAAATAAGGTGAAGATAAAAACAGCATCTACTTTCAAAAGGGAAAGTTGTCTGGATAGAAGTAGGCTCAGAGGCAGCTGATAATGAACCTGTGTGAACATTAGTGCAGCAGGAAAAAAGTTCACTCTGGAAGGGATGGTGGGTACACTGTAGAGGAGCCCTAGGAGGAAAGGCAATACTTACTCTGATAAATGAGCTGACAGTGTCCTTCCTACTTCAAGGAGCAAAGAGCCTATGCTTGGGAATAGCAGTCACAGTCTCTGATATTTGTTTAGGGCAAGCGACCAGCGCGATCTCACAGAGCACAAACCCTCAGCCTCCAACCACAGTAAGTAAAGCCATCACCAGTGACAGCAGGTGTGTTCCACACGTGCCCTGCCCTAGCAGGGAAACCTGGTCCCAAGGACTCAGTACCTTCTGAAATTCCATTTCCCAACCTGAGGTTGCCATAGGTCCTTACACCCTTCTAGTCACAAAAGATCCCCCTGAGACCCAGCCCTGGGAGACTCACTCAGCCAGGCCTGGCAGGCCTGAGTAAGATGGTCATGTTTTCTAAAGCCATTCCTCACCTTACCCCTCCCCCTTCTCCTCTATTAGGGATGTGGGCACTCTCCTTTGGTGAGACTTTCCCTGTCTTGTGGTGCTCTGGGTGCTGTGGTTCTCAATGCCCCTCCTTGTCACTGGTGTCTGGTGCTTAGAAACACAACTGGGCAAAAATCAAGGCCTTGTGAACTGGAAAAAATATTCAGAAGTGGACTAAAGCCTCGTGGTTCTACTGTTGGCTCCCTGCCCACTTCTCCCCCACCCTCTCTCCACTGGCACTAACACCCTGGGTCTGGACCACAGACTCTGAGGAAATCAAATTCTTTAAGTGATCATGGTCCACTTCCCTCCCTTTCCCTCCCACTACCTGCCACCTCCTTCAGCTAGAAATCACAACAATTTAACAGCACCAAGGCTATAAAGCTATAAGGCAGCTTTGCATTTTCATGGATTTCTAACTCTTCTTTCAACTCCCAGGTCAGGGCCACTCTGACAACTCATCTAACAAGGTAAGCATAGTCAGTCTCACTGGCTCATTTTCTCATTGAAATACCTCTGTGTAGAACAGGTTAGTCTTGAAGACAAAAATGCAATTAAATGTCAGTTGGAATTCCTCAATGCAGCAACAAACAAAGATATATTGGTTAACTACTCCCATTGGGTCTACCTTATGCAAGAATGTGGGGTTTTGGAGTGTCCGCATCAGGTGTTTGAATCCTCAAGTGACTCTTAGTAGCTCTGTGACCTTGAGCAAGTAACTTAACCTCTTTGATCCTCAGCTTTGTCTTCTGTAATATGGGCATGCTATCTACTTCAGAAAGAAGTTGAAGGAATGAAATGAGATAACACATGCAAAGCACAGTGCCTAATATAAGGAAGGTACCAGGTCATTCTCCCTCCTCTATCTTCAATCTGACCTGCTCTTCCTGTCAAAAGATAATGTCTAATCCAGTGGGTCTGAGGTCTTAGTTCCTTTAGTTTATAATAATTTTACTGAATTTCTCTCAAAGCAGCACTGTAATGAAGAAACAAAACGTTATCTCCCTGCAAAATGAAACCCTCCAGTCACTTCCCTTCAAAGTGTAAACATATACTAACTTCCAATGCATTGGTTTTGCCTCTTACTTTGAAAAACACAGTATATCCTCATATGTTTGTCTTGTTTCTTTCATTCAGAATGGTTTTGTGAGATTCATCCATATTGTTGTATGCAATTGTAGCTGTTCATTTTCATTGCTGTATCATTCTCTTCCATTGTATGAATACCATAATCTATCTCTTCTAATGACCATACAAAGGATGTCAGTATGCAGAAGGGTAATAAAAGCCTTTTAAAGTGGTGAAAGCAGGTGGTGCGAATCACATCAGGCGAGGTGAGGGCCTGGTCTATGACACTGACTTAACTGATCACTTCTCATGCCTTTCAGATGGATGAAATTACATATTCTTCCTTGAACTTCAATGGCCAGGAATCGAAGAAGCCAACTTATGCCTCTCCGTCCCCAACAGCCACAGAATCAGTTTATTCCGAAGTAAAAAAGAAGTAATGCAACCAGCTCTGCTCACTGCACTGCTGATTCCCAGCTTCTCATCCCCATCAGTAGGAGACCTCTTTGCCCTGGGGGGGGAGAGGGGAGGAGAAGAAGCTTCTTTTCCCCTCCTCCTTTACTCACTCTTGGACACCTCCGGGTTCCTGGTCACAGCCCCTCCCTTCAGTGTCAACAGATGAAAAGATACATCCGGGAGTCTGTAGGAAACCCAACCTTCCTTGTCATTGAAATTTGGCAAAGCAGACCTAGGGAAAGAGTTGCCAGAACCTCCAACCCCTCGGGCCAATCATTCCCTGACCAAGACTTGTTCTAAACTTACCTATTGAGCCCACCTTCCTTCCTTCCTGTTGGAGTCTAACTTGAATTTGCCATAATTTTGAGAGTTATATCCTTATCCACTGAAATACATTTGTCAGAGAGGAAGAGAGAGAAAAACTAAAAGCTTCTCCTATCTCTCCAAAGCTCAATGTGAATGGAACACACAAGAAAATAAATATATAACCACGTCTCAACACAGAAATTCTACACCTTTGTCCTTTGTCAGGGTGTCTAAAAACCTTTCTGCTTGGCTAGAAAACCACCTAAGCCCTTTGGCAAGACTGTTTACAGAGAAACCACTAAAAGCAACTAGAAAAACTATGTGATTCCCAAGGGAAAATGTTAATAAAAAAAAAAAAAAGCACATATATTTTAATAAGTTTATGGGCTTTTATTTAAGGAAATGCCTACAGAGGAAAGAGGTTACAGTTTTAGAGGGTACTCAGCTCCCAATAAGAAACAGTCTGGCAGTGGCTGGTGTGCTCAGTGATTAGAGCATTGGCTCAAGGACCTAAGGGTCTCAGGTTTGATTCCTGGTCAAGGGCTTGTACCTGGGCTGCAGGTTGGATTCTTGGCCCCAGTTGCGTTTATGCAGGAGGCAACCAATCAATGTGTTCCTCTCATGTAGATGTTTCTCTTCCTCCTTTCTCTAATTTTCCCCTTCCCTTCCTTCCTCTCTCTAAAAATTAACAGAAAAAATATCCTCGGGTGAGGATTAACAAAAAAACAAACAAACAAAAAAGTAACAATCTGCTAGGAATTTCAGAAAGGAATCAGAGTTACCCTTCAGAGGTTATTTAAATAATTATTAAAGGATGCACAATTTGGGGTTCTGGGTTTGTTCTCATCTCTGAGACATTTCACCATTTTAATCTTTTTAACTCCTTATGTGAAAGGGATTACTTTTACTTGGGTTTGCTTTGTAAGCCAATCTGAGGACCTTGGTGAAAGAAGCCACCAAAGCCCCTCCCTTGACCAGGAGCTCCTCAAGCTTTTATGTCAGTGGCTCCAAGTGGAAAAGAAGATCCGATTTCTCTCATTCATGGCTGGAAATGGATCTAAGTCAGTTTCTGGGCATCTCAGGCCAGTCATCAACCACCATTCAAGTCCATGTTTCTGCCTGTGCATGTTCTGTCCATCTTCCCCATTTACTGACTCAGGAAACCTGGGCCTCTGCTAAGGTGTATTGGTCCTTGAGAAGTGTCCCCTGCAGGGAACACTGTCACTCACACTGTTGCCATTGTTTACAACCCAGAAAGCTGCACTGGTGCTGATGCTCGTTAGGACACAGAGGAGGATCAACTGAGCCCCAGGCTCTGGAATTTTTCTCCCATAGGGTCTGAGTCCCATTGTGTCAGAATAAAAAAGAAGGGCAAGGGAAGGAGAGGCAAACTATTGCCCACCCAGCCTTCCACATGGATGACTTTCCTTGGGGCTGTTGAGATAAATAATTTATTCGATATTGATTACTGGATCTCATGCTGTGTCTAAGAGGCCCCTCAGAGAGGGTTAGTTGGGAGTTCTCTGTACTCAGGTACCTCTTTCAGGGTTTTCTGACCCTGACACAGACTGTAAATACGTCACCTCATCTGTGCTATTCTCTGTTATTTAATTTTGTCTGGTTAAGGCCACTTCTGAATTATTTGTAAAATTTGCTCTATATTTATAATAAAAATTATATATCAGACATCAATATGCTTTCTCACAGTTGATACTACTTTAGGCAATGTCTTCTTTACAGGCAGAAGAAATAGAAATTACCTAACTGGTAGTCAAAGCCTATTTTTAAGTCTACAGATATTTTATCTAGCAATCATAGAAGTAGCCAATTTTATTTGCACACCAGCTAATAAAGTGAGTCTATCTCGAAGCAACAGCCCACAGCTGCAAACTGCCTGGAAGAAACTGCCCATTTTGCTCTGGGAACGATGATTTCATGAGTAAAAAATTCCCAGCCTCTTTATTAGGGACAAATAACAATCCTCACACCAGTGGCTCTAGTGAATCAGATGCAGCAACAGGGCTTCACGCATATGAAGTCTCCACTGGTTCTGTCCTGTAGAAATCTCTGACACCTATCTTCCTGTCCCAACATCAATTTTTCTGCCACCTCACAGGGTCAGAGATCTTTGTACCCGAATAAGCTTCATTCATTAATTCCAGTATTAGCCTGTTATCACATTTCCTTCATTTCCAAGCAATTGAAGTGTATGTTCTTTTTCCCTTTCCTCATCACCAAGTTTCTCCTTCATCCTCAAGATCTGAAGCAGCACACAATCAGTATCTCATCTTGGTTAAACTCAAAGATGTTTTCACCATCCTCACATTGCTCACTTTTTCAACATCTAAGACCATAGACAACTTTTTCTTCCTTGGGTATCCTCCTCCTGTTCCAAACACACACCAGAATTAGTACTCAGACTGCTATATTCTCCCACATCATCATCCTCTTTCCCCAGCTTCAGTGACCTCTGTGCAGATGGCTCCCACACCTGTATCTCTAGCTCCTACTGCTTCACAGTACTCAGTACACTCGTATCCAAATGCCTTCTGAAGTTACTTCCCATTTAAACTGGCTTTCCCCACAGCTCATTCATTTGTCATAGTTCCTCAGATCTTGCTTTTTGTTTCCCAAATTCCATACATCATCAAAACCTGTTGATTCTTTTTGAACATCTCTCATTTGTGCCCTTTCCTCCATTCCCATATACCTAGTGGGAGTACAGCTTGACTTTTTGTCTCTGGTCTTTAATGGACTCTGCCTTGCACAACACTCATTACCTTCCTAAAAAAAAACAAAAAAAAAAACGGGTTTACTCCTTACTCAAGAGTCTACAGTGGCCTGCCATGGCCTACCAAGTAAGTTCAAATTTCTTCCTTCCTCATTCTCTTTACCACTTATCTCTAGTACAATTCATCTATTCTAATTAGATCTGTCTCCTTATTCATCCTGGCCTCTTAACCCCATACACACATAGAATTCTTAGTCCAAATGCTGTGCCTGAAAACAAATACCACACAGGGCAATGATCCATCTGTTATTCACAAAGGAGTTAACACACTAGTCATCAAGAACAACAATAATGACCCCATGGAGGACAGGAACCTGTCCATTAATGTGTATACCTGAGACTCGGAATGCAGCCTATCTCTTCCTAATGACCACAGACTCCTTCTAATGACCAATTTTTGTGCCCATGAAATTCTTATGGAGCACCAACTGTGCTACAAGTCTCAGTGTTAGAGCCCATGAAAGAGACAGAAATGAGAAAGGGAAGTTTCCTACCCCAAGGAACATGAATCCTAAGGCAAGAAATAAGACATGAAAAATTATTCTATATAATAAAAGCCTAATATGCTAAATGTCTGGCCGTCTGTTCAGCCATTCAACCAATCAAAGCTAATGATATGTAATATGCTAATGATATGCTAAGGCTGCTCAACCACTTACTATGATATGCACTTAAAACCCCGGGGGGAAGACACTTCAATTGGTAGGTTATCTTGCTATTGGGGTTCAGCCCATCAGAACTGAGCAAGATGGACCAGAGATGCCCTGGGGCCCTCCCGTGTTGCTTCACCAGCTGGTCAACCTCCCATGTTTCTCCCTGGCCCCAACTGTGCACCAGTGGGGTCCCTTGGCCTGGCTTACACTCTCGAAATCCAGGCTGAGGGACTCCCCCTGAATGCACAAATTTTGTGCACTGGACATCTAGTTATAATATAAAAATAGAAAAGTATAAATGCAACAAGAGAAGACAGATAAATCCAATGGGAAACATGGCTATTCATTAGAATGACTGGGGAATTCTAAAAACAATTGATACTGTCCTTACCCACAGATTTCAATTCAATTGGTGTGAGGTGGAACCCAGGCATTGCTCATTTTTTAAAGCTTCCTAGATACTTTTAACATGTAGCCAGGATGGAGATCTTCTGCCATTATAAGTAAGACATGAGTCTAAAAGCAGTGGCAAAACAAGAGTATAAATCAGAATTATCTTAGGGAAATTTTCAACCATCCTTGAAGAAGTTGATACAGTATGTCAGGAATAAGACTGAGGTCTGTGTATTTTGAGAAACTCACAGATTATTCTTACATATATTTCATGTTAGGAAACACTGACATAAAACATAGGAAGGACTAAACAACTGGAGAGTTGGGAAAGCATTCCACAAGCATGACATAAATAATATATTCTGCAAGGCAACAAGAAGTACTCAAAAAAATTATTGGCATATAGCTAAACTTTGAAAGACTGATGACACCAAGTGTTGTGAGGATGTGAAACAACCAGTATTATTATATATTTTTGGTGGAAATATAAAAAGAAACAAGCACTCTGGAAAAAAGTTTGGCATTTTCTTATAATGTTAACTATACAATCCAGCAATTCTACTTCCAGGTCTTTACCTAAGAGAGATGAAAATAATGTAGATATCCATATAAGGAATTATAAAGGAAGAAAGAAAATGGAAGGGAAGAGAAGGAAGGGGACAATTATGAGATAATTACAGAAATCTGAACATTGAATATTTTATGATATTTAGGAAGTACTAATTTTTACTGTGATAATGGCATTGTAGTTATGTCTTTTTATATAACTTTTTAAATTTATTTGAGAGAGAAAGAGAGAGAGAGAGAGAGAGAGAATCAATGTGAGAGAGGAACATTGATT